GGATGGATATATTTATGTTGCTGATTTTAACAACAAACGTATAATGAAATATTAAAATAGTTGTTCAATAAAACTGCAATAAACTAAATATACTATAATTATGGTATGGCATTTTATATCTCTTTTCCATTTCTCTCTCTCACACACATTCTCTCTCCCTTCCCCTCCACATTAGTCACTGTAAGTGTTAATTATTATTCTTATTAATAGATTATTTGAATTTAAACTAGTTGTTTGTAAATAATCACGTAAATATGTAATTGCTAATGGCGGACGTCTTGACACAATATTAACCAGTGTTGCTGGTACTCCTCTCATTTCAACCTATTCAGTGTATGTCATGTTTGACTCCACCCACAACCACACCCTCTGCACAAGATACGTGACTTGTGTCAGTAGTTTATCTTTATAGCGATAAGGTTCAATGATCCACCCACTAGTCATGACCTAGTAAAACTTTGTATATTCTAGTAATCTTGTTACATCTCTCTAACCTTTCCTCTTGTGCAGTTTCACATTATATAATACAAGTTCCTGATCACAAATGATTGTGCAATCTAAACCAGATTAATACAAAAACATTAATTATTATAGTCCAGTATTATACATGTACCTGTGCAAATAGTTCTTCATTGAAGAGCACATTTTTTAAGTATCTGCTCTCAAGGAGTTAACATTAACTGTGGCTTATGAAGCTCAATGAAACAAGACAGCAACAAAGAATCAAGAGAAAAACCTCTGGAACAAAAACCACATCAACATGTACACATAGATGACATGTACAATCGTGTGATAGTCATGTGACATACCATTACCTTTAATAGGTCTGTCTGCTAGGAATATAACTACTTCACTCCTTCCTCTTAATTCTTGAGGTACCACTACTGACAGTATATCATTAGTCCCTTCAATTCCTTTATGAACCTCAAACTGAACTGACTGAGCATACAGTGAATCAGCTGCAATAAATAATGATAGTAACGATTCGTCAAAAATGATTAGAGAGAATTCTTTATTTATACTTTTTTTCTAATAAATATACATGTTTTATGTTGTATAGCAAGTTTGAGCTAATACCAAAAAAAGTTTGATTTTATACAAATGTTTGAAGTTACTCAAAAACGAGGCCAAAGTCCCTGTACTATTATAGTACAGGGTCACGAGCCAATTTTTGCCAAAAATTAAAGGGTGAGAATTCTCCAATTTAATAATTTTTCCTGATACATATACATGTTCTCATGTTGTGTAGGAAGTTTGAGTTGATTCTGATAAAATTTAATTTTTTACAAATTTTTAAAGTTGCTTCATACTATAGTACCCATTACTGTTATACTGTGAGTGTGTTATACTTCATTCCAATTAAGTTACCTGATCTATAGCTGAGGTCTCCACTGACTCCATTAGCTGTTCTACGTAGTATCCATCTTCTTCTTAAATCATATAATGCTCTGTAAAACTTGTGATCAGTTTGACTGGATAATCTCTTGAATGGCTCAGCTCCTTTTCTTAATATCTTGGAAGCTACATCAAGTGCCTACAGAAAAACTCATGATACTATTAAATGTACAAGTACATACACAATGAATACATATTCATTAATGATCGATCTAATACGGACAAAGCTCACTAAAAGAACTGCTATTGATCTGTGTACCTAATTATATTAAACACAATACAG